ATACCCCAGCTGCGCCGCACTGTACGGGTTGGCGAACTTGCGTGTGTACTCGGCTGTCAGACTCTCCAGGTCCACGCTGCCCCTGTGCAGGATCTCTGCTGCGCCCTGGGGGGAGGGGAAGAGGGCAGAATTGTTGGCTTAAGGTAGGATCACCCTCCCTGCTTGCGTGCGAGTGTACTCGGCTGTCAGGCTCCCCAAGTCCACACACCCTGTGTGCGAGATCTCCACCATGCCATGTGGGGGAGAGAGTCGTCACGCGGGCAGGGAAAGGGAGGGGTAAAACACAAGGGAAGAGCAGCGCGATTACCCTCCCTACTCTATTGTGCACCCTGCTGTCATACCCTCCAGCTCCACAGTCCGTCTGTGCAGGATCTCTGCCGCTCCCTCAATGCCCAGACGGGTGGGAGGCAGACTTGTGGGAGAGGGGGTGGGAGAGAGTGATGTGAAGCGATTGGCTGGGAAGGTCAAAACAATCAACCTCCCTGCTTGCGTGTATACTCCGCTGTCAGGCTCTCCAGATCTACGATACCGCTATGCAGGGTCTCAGCTGCACCCTCGGGGAGGTCACAGAAGGAATGGAATGGGGGATGGAAGTATGAAATAATTGGTTGGTGTCAATTTTGTCAACGCCCCCTCCCCAAAAAGAAAACCAGCACATACCCGCGTGCAGCCCCGCGACCCCCCGCACATGCAAGTGTGACGGCAATCTCACCTTGGCTCCCATCACTGCAATCTCACCTTGGCTCCCATCACTGCCATCTCACCTTGGCTCCCATCACTGCCATCTCACCTTGGCTCCCATCACTGCAATCTCACCTTGGCTCCCATCACTGCCATCTCACCTTGGCTCCCATCACTGCAATCTCACCTTGGCTCCCATCACTGCAATCTCACCTTGGCTCCCATCACTGCAATCTCACCTTGGCTCCCATCACTGCCATCTCACCTTGGCTCCCATCACTGCCATCTCACCTTGGCTCCCATCACTGCCATCTCACCTTGGCTCCCATCACTGCAATCTCACCTTGGCTCCCATCACTGCAATCTCACCTTGGCTCCCATCACTGCAATCTCACCTTGGCTCCCATCACTGCCATCTCACCTTGGCTCCCATCACTGCCATCTCACCTTGGCTCCCATCACTGCCATCTCACCTTGGCTCCCATCACTGCCATCTCACCTTGGCTCCCATCACTGCAATCTCTGCGGATGGCCACGCGTAGTTGGCGTCCCCCCTCAGGTGCTTGGAACTCATGACTGCACCGGGTGGGGTGGGATGGGGCAGGGAGGAGCGGGGCAGGGCGGGGCGGGATGGGGTGGGGTGGGGCGGGGTGGGGTGGGTGGCCAAGAGAGGAGGGGCGAGGTGAGCAGTAAGGCAAGGCAGCACGACGTCACCCGTCAGGTGCTTAGAGGTCATCATTGCAGGAAAGAGGGAGGTGTTTGGCAGGGGCAGGGGGAGAAATGGTTGAGAAGCAAAGAGCAGAGGCCATTGTCACCCGTCAGGTGCTTGGAGGCCACGGCTCCCCATTACACCTTGGAGGCCACGGCTCCCCATTACACCTTGGAGGCCACGGCTCCCCATTACACCTTGGAGGCCACGGCTCCCCATTACACCTTGGAGGCCACGGCTCCCCATTACACCTTGGAGGCCACGGCTCCCCATTACACCTTGGAGGCCACGGCTCCCCATTACACCTTGAAGGCCACGGCTCCCCATTACACCTTGGAGGCCACGGCTCCCCATTACACCTTGGAGGCCACGGCTCCCCATTACACCTTGGAGGCCACGGCTCCCCATTACACCTTGGAGGCCACGGCTCCCCATTACACCTTGGAGGCCACGGCTCCCCATTACACCTTGCGAGTGATAACAGTCAGCTGGGGAACCGTGGCCTCTGCATGTGTGTGTAAACATCAATTGCACCGTATAGCCCCTCGCACACACATGGACACCATACGGCACACACGCACACACGCACATACGCTCGCACGCACGCACGCACGCACACACGCACGCACGCACGCACGCACACACACACACACACACACACACACACACACACACACCATACAACTCACACGCACGCACGCACGCGCACTCACACACACACGCTCACACGCACTCATACTCATATGCAACTCATATGTCTTTTCCTGCTTCTCTCACCGTCGTATGCCCCCCCATACGCCTTGCGAGTGATGACAGTGAGCTTGGGCACCGTGGCCTCTGCATACGCATACAGCAGCTTCGCCCCCTGCCTGATGATGCCATTGTGCTCCTGCTCCGTGCCTGCAGGGGCAGAGACGCACAGCACACACATGGACACACTTCAACACAAGTGATACGCATTTATGATACCACAGAGTGCAGCAGCTTCGCCTCGTGCCTCGTGATGCCATTATGCTCCTGATCCGTGCCTGCCCAGTTCAGTGCCCACACATGTGGGCACACAAGACATACATGCATGCATGTGCGCACACATGACATAGATGCATGCATGTGCGCACACATGACATAGATGCATGCATGGACACGTAAGGAGGCACACAGAGACACATCAGAGACAAGTGAGGACACATGTAATGACGCACAGCAGAGAATCATGCACATGTGCCAATGCATGCTGCAGCTTTGCCCCTGCCTGCCCGATAATGCTCCTGTGATTGTGTGACAATAGCCGGATGTGAGTTTTCAGTCAACTACAAAATCACCTCCGTGCCTGCAGGGGCGGGTGGATAGCAGGGGCGGGTGAATAAGCGCGAACACACACAGGGCATGCGCGAATGCACGCGAACACATGTACTCATGCATGCTGCAGCTGTGTTTGTAGTTTGAGTTGACTTGAAACACACATGAAAGCACACAACACGCATGTGTATATAATCAAGCACGGTTTCATGTGACGATGCATGGAACCATGGGATGGAAGCACGGTACCTGGGAGGAAGCCAGCACGGTACCGGGGAGGAAGCCAGCATGGTACCGGGGAGGAAGTCAGCACGGTACCGGGGAGGAAGCCAGCACGGTACCTGGGAGGAAGCCTGGGACGTCGACGAATGTGAGGATGGGGATGTTGAACGCATCGCAGAAGCGCACGAAGCGAGCTCCCTGCAGTCATGTGGTGCGAAACCATGCCATGCCACAGCAAGTTATGCCATGCGGTAAGGTGATGACATGACGTACAATGTTGTAACATAGCAGTGCAGTTGATCAAATGCCACAGCATTGCGCATGCAGAGCAGAGATAACGAGTTGAAGCACATGTGTGTTCGAAATAGTATCAACACAGCCATTCCTTTGGTGCTTCACTGTTACATCTAATCACATTGTGTCACCACTTTTAACCTTGTAGAACCACATTTTACCACACTACTTGTGTTCAATTCGTGCTGCTCCCTTGCCAAATTCCCACCACATCACATATAGCGCCACACAATGCCTTGCAGAACCACAAGTCCCCAAGATCGAGGCGTTGGTACCCAGGCACCCACCCAGTCTGCTCCTTGGGTTTCATTGATTGACCACTCTGATCCCACATGGAATGCCGGACCACCAGAGCAACACACCTGTAGTGCCTTATTCATTCTAGTAGCTTACCATGCAACCCCACAGTTCACATTGATAGAGGTGTTGATATCATGGGATCCAGCCTCTTCCTTGGGCTGATTCACATCTTTGATTCAGCAGGTAACGCTGTAACTCATCATAGCACCACAACCATGCAAACCACAGTTCACCTTGATGGAGGCGTTGATATCGAGGCAGCCCGCCTGCTCCTTGGGCTGATTCGCCACCACTCCCACCGTGCCCCCGTCCAGCCTCTGATGGCGCCCAGATGGGGGGAAGATGGGGGGGGATGGGGGGGAGATGGGGGGGAAATTGGAAGGAGATACAGGAGATAGGGGAAAGATGGGGGGAAGTTGCGGAAAGAGCAACCGAGAAGGAAGGCAAGGGAGCAGAGATCAGTGTCGATTGACAATCAATTGCCATCATTTTGTTCTTTAGAATGACGCTGTGTTCTGTTCCATCCAAGCATATGCATCAGCTGCAGTTGACCGGGAGGATCAACCAGCATTGACCAGCATTGACCAGCATTGACCAGCATTGACCGGCATTGACCGGCATTGAATGACCAGCATAGAAATGACCGGCATTGACTAGGGTTGACCAGGATAGACTCACCGCGAATCCAATGAGGATGTTGCGTGCAAAGCCGCCCTGCACCTCAAACATCTCCCCATCGTCCACCACCTGATGATGCCGAGGACGAGGAGGGGGGTAGGTGTGGTATGGGGACAAGGGGATATGGGGGGAAAGCGGGAGAGGATATGGGCTCCCTGCTTAGAAGCCGTCCTGCACGTCAACCGTCTCCCCATGGTCCAGGCAAAGACAGAGGGATGCGAGAAGAGGAGGGGAGGGTGGTGAGGGTGTGCGGAGTGGGGTGTGCATCCAGGCAACGCCGCCCGGCACCTCGCGTGTCGTCCAGCACCTGAAGAAAAAGGGCGAGGGAGGAAGGGTAATGCAGGGGAGGGCGGTGAGGGTGGTGAGGGTGGTGGGGGGGAGCGAGGCGTGTGCATGCATGCCTTGGCTACCAGCATGTGAGCAGCTCAGATGATCTCCACCGTGCTGTTTGACCTGACAAGTCCTTCCACCCTATGACGGTCACAGGTGGTGCCATTTGTAGTCTTACGCAGTCCATGCAGTCAGATATGCCTCCCATTGCCACAACCCGGCCTGCTCGATGATCCTTGCATGCAGTTTTGGATCCCTCCTCCCCTCCACCCCCACTCCTCCACCCGCCACCCGCAGAGTCCCACACAGACAACTATCGATACGCCTCACGGCAACAACCCCACCCTGTCGTCTGCAGTGTTGGGTCCCTCTATCCCTCCACTCTACCCATGCCATACGCAGTCCCATGCCTGCAGACAGTCACAGGAACCATGGATACGCCTCACTGCCTCGCGGCCCCACCCCACCTGCTCGATAGTCTCCTCTCCACCGTGTCGTACGCCGTGTTGGGGTCTTCCAGCCTTCCACCCGTGCAGTGCCCCCACCCGTACTGTGCCCCCACCCGTGCTCTGCCCCCACCCGTGCTCTGCTCCCACCCGTGCTCTGCCCCCACCCGTGCTGTGCCCCCACCCGTGCTCTGCCCCCACCCGTGCAGTGCCCCCACCCGTGCAGTGCCACGCAGTCACGACAACTATAGCCCATAGGTGAGTCTCACTGCAGGCTCGAACATACACCCCGTCCCACCCCACCTGCTCGATAATCCCCACCATGTGGTCAGCAGTGCTGGGGTCCCTCCCCTCCACCCATGCCACGCGCACTCACACCTGCACTGCACATACGCCTCAGCCTCCCCCACCTGCTCGATAAACCCCATCCCCCACCATGTTGTATGCCGCCTTGGGGTCCTTCCAGCCTACAGGTTGGGTGCATCAAAGGTACACTCACTACAGGCTACAGCCGCACCTGCTCAATGATCTCCACCATGTCGTATGCAGTGTTGGGGTCTCTATGTCTATCCCTCCACTCTAACCCAGCCCATACGTGTCACTCACTACAAGAGCCTCACCTGCTCCATGATTCCCCTCCACCATGCCGTGTGCCGTGTTGGGGTCCTTCCCACAGTCACAACAAGTGTAGATGCAACAACCTCACCCCACCCCACCCCATCCCACCCCATCCCACCCCATCCCATCCCATCCCACCCCACCCCACCCCACCTGCTCGATGATCTCCACCATGTCGTATGCCGTGTTGGGGTCCCGCGGCACAGCAAAGTCCAGCGACGGCGTCACACGCTTGCTGTGGCGTGTGGACGAAGCGGGGGGGAAGGGGGGGGGGGGGGGGGGGTGTGGAAGAGAGCGGAAGGGGGAGGGGGAGGGGGAGGGGGAAGGGGGGAACGGTGTTGGGGTTGCGGAGCACAGCAGAGTCCAGAGATGGGAGGACGAGGTTGCTGTGGTGTGACTGTGTGGGGAGGGTTGGGAAAAGAAGAGGGGGTGAGGAGACGGTAGAGGGAGAGGAAGAGAAGGGAGGGAGGACGAGGGGAGGCGAAAGGGAGAGGGAGGGGAGGCAAAAGAGCGAGGGAGAGGAGGAAAATGAGGGGCGTTAATTAGACAGGGAGCACTGTGTTGGGGAGCACTGTGTTGGGGAGCACTGTGTTGGGGAGCACTGTGTTGGGGAGCACTGTGTTGGGGTTACGAGGCACAGAAAAGACCAGCGAGGGAGAGCAAGGTCGCTGGAGTTAGGGGGGGGGAGGGAGTGGACGGGGAAGGAGGAGAGGGAGGGGAAGGGAAAGGCGGAGGGGGGGTTGAAGGGGAAGGGGAAGCGGGAGGGGGTGGGAATTGGAAGAGGAAGGGGGAGGGGGGATGAAAGGAGAAGGGGGAGGGGAAGGGCGGGGAATCGGAAGGGGGAGGGAGGGGGAACACAGTGCTGGGGACACGAGGCACAGCAGCATAGGGAGCAAAGGCGATGCAGTTGGTGAGTGCGGTGGATGCAGCACAAGTTTGTTACAGGGGGGAGAGAAGGGGCGTGGGGCGTGGGGTTACTTGCATAGACAGGGGGAGAAAAATGGAAGAGGGGGTGAAAGCAGTGGGGAAAGGACTGGAGACTGTAAAGGTAGAGTGGAGCGAGTTGGAATAGAGGGCGAGGCCCTATCAATGGCCTCATGGAGAAGCACCTCCTCTAGGTGACTCACGGGGAGTCGAAGTTGGGTCGCAAGGGTGGCGCATGCTGATTGGACAGCGGCAGGAAGTCAAAGAGGTCCCGGATCCTGAAGGCAGAGAGAGGGGAGGGCGCGAGGAGAGGAGGGCATGAGTGGTGGAGCATGAGTGGTGGAGCATCAACGAATGCTCTTGTGTGCAGCATCAGAGCATTAGCGTAACCCACACCACACCACACCACACAACACCACACCATACCACACCACACCACACCACACCACACCACACCACACCACACCACACCACACCACACCACCGTGCATTGCAAGGGCGTCCACCTCGTTGTGATAGGCGGGCGGGCGGGGTGCACCACTCCTCCTGACTTGAGCTGTACATCCGCGCTGCCCCTCCTGGCTCGTCGAGATGGAGAGGCATCAAGGACGCATGCATGAACGTACCCAGACCACACCACACCTACCTCATCTCACCACACCACACCGCACCACACCGCACTGCACCGCACCTTGCGAGAGCATCGAGTTCGTTGTCATACGCCAGGTGCACCACTCCTGACTTGGACTGCACGTCTGCTCCCCCCAGCTCATCCTGTGCAAGGAGTGTGGGGATACACGACTGAGAAAGCTCAAGCAGAGGAGTCATCATTCTCTCATGTTTGCAGTTGGCAAAGCTAGTGCGTGAAGTAGGCCTGACAAGTCACTAGGCAGTGCGTGAACACGAGCCACCCGGGAAGAGCAGCGAGAAAGAGCTTCTGTTAAAAAAAAGGTTACACAGCACGAGGGAGTGGGGAAGAGCAGGCCTCAAACGTGAGTGACATCCCAAGTGACACACATACCCGAGTGACACACATACCCGAGTGACACACATACCCGAGTGACACACATACCCGAGTGACACACATACCCGAATGACACGCATAGTGACACACAGAGTGACACGCATACCCGAGTGACATCCTCAAACGTGACTTGCTTCACCACGTCAGGCCCCGTGACAAACATGTAGGCCGTGCCTCGAGTCTGGGGAGAGGCATTGAGGAGGGGGGAATGCAGGAAGGGGGAATGCATGAAGGGGGAATGGAGGAGGGCGGAATGCAGAAGGGGGGAATGCAGGAGGGAGGTCAATCGGACAACTGACAAGGGCATGAACAGCAAAGAGTGTGCTTCACATCACACCATGTCAGGCCCCCTCACAAAAACGTGCGCCGTGCCCCGGGAGTGCATGAGGAATGCTGGAGGCAGGTCAAGCGGATAAGTGACAGCAGAGCAGCGAGCAGCAGAGAACGTGCTTCAGCATGCCAGGCACCATCACACACATGTGCACCGTCACACACATGTGCACCGTCACACACATGTGCACCGTCACACACATGCGCACCGTCACACACATGTGCACCGTCACACACATGTGCACCGTCACACACATGCGCACCGTCACACACATGTGCACCGTCACACACATGTGCACCGTCACACACATGCGCACCGTCACACACATGCGCACCGTCACACACATGTGCACCGTCACACACATGTGCACCGTCACACACATGCGCACCGTCACACACATGTGCACCGTCACACACATGCGCACCGTCACACACATGTGCACCGTCACACACATGTGCACCGTCACACACATGCGCACCGTCACACACATGTGCACCATCACACACATGCGCACCGTCACACACATGTGCACCGTCACACACATGCGCACCGTCACACACATGTGCACCGTCACACACATGTGCACCGTCACACACATGCGCACCGTCACACACATGTGCACCGTCACACACATGCGCACCGTCACACACATGTGCACCGTCACACACATGTGCACCGTCACACACATGTGCACCGTCACACACATGTGCACTGTGCCACGGGTCTGCATGGAAAATGCAGGAGGCAGGTCATTGTTTTTAAGGATCCTCAAGATCTGAGCACAAGCACTGCGAGAGCAGAAATGGCTTGCTTCCATCTCCTCCCCCATCTTCCGCTCCTCTCCCCCCTTCTCATTTCAACGGCAGAGCAGTGCATGCAAGCATCTCACCACTCGCCACCGAATCTCACCAATTTTCATCAAATCCCATCTCACCATGGCCACGAAATCCGTGAGAGCAGGCGAGTAGACAGCACCACCTGCAGGGATAGTTGGGGACAACCAGGGTTAGACAGAAGACAACATACAAACACAAGGTGGATGGGTGGAATACATGGCACAGCAAGGCACAGCGACGTATGGCGCGCAGAAATGTGCGGTGAGGCAGCACAGCACATCCCATCCCATCCCATCCCATCCCATCCCATCCCATCCCATCCCATCCCATCCCATCCCATCCCATCCCATCCCATCCCATCCCATCCCATCCCATCACATCACCTCCCATCCCATTGCATCACATCACATCACATCACATAACACATCACAATATATAACATGTTACAACCCTCGATAGCCATATCGCCTGCACTGCTCATAGCCTCGGGAGGGTCTATCCATGAGGCGCCTCAAAATGAGTTCCCCAAGCCCCAGCCGCCAGTCACCTGCACATTGCGCCCCAGCCCACATAACTGGTGCATTGCCCACCACCCGCCAGCCCCCACCCCCCACCCCCCACCCCCCAGCCCCCGGGCAGCAGCCCCCAGCCCCCATTGAGGTGACCTGCGCAGGGCCCCATGATGAGGGAGAGCTGCGGAATGACTCCCGATGCCAGCACGTTCAGCTGCACGAGTGGGGGAGGGGGGAGAGGCAGGGGCGGAAGAGGAGGGAGAAGCGGCGGCGAGAGAGGCAAGGGGGGGAGAAAGGAACAAATAAGCCTCGAGACAAATGGCCCCATGATGAGGGACAGCTGGGGAATGACTCCCGAGGCCAACACGCTTAGCTGCGTGGAGGGGCAGGGGGAGGGGGGGGGAAGGGGAGAGCGGGAGAGGAGAGAGACAAGGGGGAAAGGAGGAGTGTTTATCAGCTTCTCTACTCGCATCACCTGGCGTGGCTGGCCTGGCCCTGCACGTTGCTTGACTCCACTGCCAGAACAGAGGGCCACCCATCCACCCAGCCGCAATGAGAAAGAAAGCAGAGCTCCCATCAGATCCCCTCCGCCCCCCTTCAGATCCCCTCCGCCCCCCTTCAGATCCCCTCCATCCCCCATCAGATCCCCTCCATCCCCCATCAGATCCCCTCCATCCCCCGCCTACACAAAGCGAAGGGAGCAACTTTGAGTCTCACCTGAAACACGTTGGCATAGCCGGCGAGCGACACAACGCCCTCCTGAATGCGCGCTCCCCCCGAATCGTTGATGCCTATGACCTGTGACTCGTTCATGCATGGCATGGGAAGACATGTTGTGAGGCAGGGAGGGAGGGTGATGTGAGGGGTCATGGTGTGAGGGTGGGGGCATATGAAACAACAGTAAGCAACACGGGTGGCGATCGGAGGGAACGGTGCAAGGCGAGATAAACACAGGATTTCAGATTGTTATTATGACGTGAATGAAGGACTGCTGAATAAACGAAAAATAGGAAGAACTGGTGTTTGCGGGGTCAGAGGGAGGCTTACGGGTGCTCCCACACGCATTGCCTTCTCCATGATCTGCGCGGTGGGATGGGGAGATGGGGGAGCGGGGAGGGGGAGAGCGGGGCGGGGAGGGGGAGAGCGGGAAGGGGGAGAGCGGGGATGGGAGGAGTGGGTATGAAGAGAGCGGGGAGGGGGAGAGAGGGGAGGGGGAGAGTGCAGAGGGGGGGAGTGGAGAGGGGGAGAGAGGGGAGGGGGAGAGTGCAGAGGGGGGGAGTGGAGAGGGGGAGAGAGGGGAGGGGGAGAGTGCAGAGGGGGAGAGTGGAGTTTGGGGAGGCGGAGAGAGGAGGGGGTGGGAGAAAATATTTCCGAAAAATTGTTCCCAGTCGACAGAATCAACCTCCCAGTTGACTGAATCGACCTCCCAGTTGACTGAATCGACCTCCCAGTTGACTGAATCGACCTCCCAGTTGACTGAATCGACCTCCCAGTTGACTCAATCGACCTCCCAGTTGACTCAATCGACCTCCCAGTTGACTCAATCGACCTCCCAGTTGACTCAATCGACCTCCCAGTTGACTCAATCGACCTCCCAGTTGACTCAATCGACCTCCCAGTTGACTCAATCGACCTCCCAGTTGACTCAATCGACCTCCCAGTTGACTGAACTGACCTTGCACTGATTGGACTTTGATATCTTGCCCCCATGGGTGGCTCACCTTGACTATCTTGCTCACCTTCACTATCTTGCTCACCTTCACTATCTTGCTCACCTTCACTATCTTGCTCACCTTCACTATCTTGCTCACCTTCACTATCTTGCTCACCTTCACTATCTTGCTCACCTTCACTATCTTGCTCACCTTCACTATCTTGCTCACCTTCACTATCTTGCTCACCTTCACTATCTTGCTCACCTTCACTATCTTGCTCACCTTCACTATCTTGCTCACCTTCACTATCTTGCTCACCTTCACTATCTTGCTCACCTTCACTATCTTGCTCACCTTCACTATCTTGCTCACCTTCACTATCTTGCTCACCTTCACTATCTTGCTCACCTTCACTATCTTGCTCACCTTCACTATCTTGCTCACCTTCACTATCTTGCTCACCTTCACTATCTTGCTCACCTTCACTATCTTGCTCAGCTTCACTATCTTGCTCACCTTCACTATCTTGCTCACCTTCACTATCTTGCTCACCTTCACTATCTTGCTCACCTTCACTATCTTGCTCGCATGGGTCTCCGATAAGCTGCCTCCAAACACGGTGAAGTCCTGGCTGAACACAAACACCAGCCTGCGGTGGGGTGTGGTGCGGTGAGGTGAGGTGAGGTGTGGTGTGGGGAGGATAGGAGACGAGAGACAGGGGTGGGAAGCTCGTGTGTGAGGAGGATAATGTAGATGAAAGAAACACACTAGCATGAGGCGCATCACTGTGGGGTCTTGGCTTAACACAAACACCAGCGTGCAGTGTGAATGAGGAGGAGAGTAGGGGAAGCAAGTGCGCGGGGATCAACCAAATCAGCCCACGTCCCACCCCATCCACTCTACCATGAGCACGAGAGAGTCTCTCGGAGAGACAGCCCTATGAAGTGAAGGGGGCAGCAGCAGTGGGAGTGAATGGAGCAGTGAAGAGGGAACATGCGGAGCACACCAGCGGCTCAATACTGAACGTTCTGACCAGTCTTAAACGCCGCAACCACAGCACGCTGTTTCCCTAACCACTTAATCTGACTTGCTACCACCACGACTGCATCTTATCCCACGTGCAACTAGGCTTAAGTTGAATCCACAATAGAGCAGAGGTTACAATGGAGGCAAGTTTAGAATAGAGCACTTACCTCCCATTGATGGTGCCGCTGCCAGTCACAACGCCTGGCAGCAGGTGGGTGGATACGGGAGGGAGAGGGAGCGAACGGGAAATAGAGTGACAAAACGTTGATTGGCCTTTGCTGCCACTCACGACATGTGGCAGAACATGGCAACACGTGGCAGAATGGGTTCCGTGGGTGAATAAGAGACGGCGGAGAAAGGAAGCAAGAGAGGGGACGAATGGTTCGCTTGTGGCATGCGAGGACTGGAAGCTAGACAGGAGGGGCTGAGGGGAGGAGGGAGGGGGTGAGGGAGGGGGTGAGGGAGGGAGGGAGGGAGGGAGCGAGGGAGAGAGGCAGGGAGGCAGGGAGGGACGGAGGCAGGGAGGGAGGGAGGCAGGGAGGGAGGGAGGGAGGGAGGCAGGGAGGGAGGGAAGGAGGTACGTTCCGTCTACCACAACTCCCTTCAATCAGCGTTTCATCTCTCACCAACCACGTGGCATCTCCCCCCCCAGCGTTTCATCTCTCACCACCCGTGTTTCATGTCTCACCATCGCCTGCAATCTGCGTTTCATCCATGCCAAAGTCCCGACAGCGATGCTGCACCAACATGTCTGCAGCACCGCACAGCGCACAGGGGGAAGGGGGGGGGGGGGGGGGGGGGGGGGGGGGGGGGTGCAGCACAGCAAACAGGGAGGGGGAGAGTGCAGAACAGCAAACAGCGAGGGGAAGAGAGTGCAGCAGAGCACATGAAGGGGAAAGTTCAAGACAGAGCACATGAAGGGGAAAGTTCAAGACAGAGCACACAGGGAGAACGAGAGTTGAAGAGGTGAGAGTGAGGGTGGGGAGAAGGAGGGAGGAAGTTGAAGAGGTGGGAGTGAGGGTGGTGGCCGCATTCCGGGCTGTTACGAACAGCCCACCTCATAACAGGCAATCGTCTAAACGACTCCCACCAACACTGCACGACCCCTCGCGATCCCCAGCTCTAACTCTCTTTTCGGGATTTGGGGGCCTCCGACATTCTGGGAGTGCGACGACCAACAGCTCCAGGTAACAGGCTGTTACGAGCCCAGAATGCGGCGGCCTGAGTGACTGTTGCTTTGCACGCAGATTGTAGGTAGCTCAGCAGGAAGTCTTTGCTCCCTAATCTAATGGCCCTGCTCGCATTGCATCTTCTCCATCCCCGCATTGCCTACACGCCACGCACTAACCACCTGCCTCTCCACTCACCGACCCTCCATCCCCACCCTGGGCTGCAGTGTCAAAACTCGCTCGCTCCCTGCCCGTCACCTTGCTCTGCTCCTGCTGGTACCTCTGACAGCGCCGCTCGTGCTGCGTGCGAGCTCTCATGTGCTGTTCGTGCTGCTTCGGCGGCTTCCTCTGCTCTGCTCATGCGGTGAGTGCTGCTATTCCTGCTCCTGCTGACTGTGCAAGGCCTTCACTCACCGACCTCTTCAAGCAACCCTGCTTGGGTCCAGCACAGCCATGACCTCTGCCTGTCAGCTTGCCCTGCCAGCCACCCACTGATGCTTGCGCTGCTTCCCCTACACTACTACTCGTGCTCGTGTCGTTTGTGTTGCATGATGCAACTTGCCTCGCCACTCACCCACCTCTTCGTACAGTCCTGAGTCCAGCAGAGCCATGACTCGCTCTCTGGCTATCAGCTTGCCCGCGCTGCTTCCGCTGCACTGCTCATGCTGCGCGTGCTGCTCGTGCTGCTCGTGCTGTTCGTGCTGCTCGTGCTGCCTCACCACTCACCGAGCTCTTCGAACGACCCTGAGTCCAGCAGAGCCATGACTCGCTCTCTGGCTATCAGCTTGCCTTGCCACTGATGCGTGCGTGCGCTGCCTGCACTGCTGTTTGCTTTGTGCGGCCTTGCCACTCACCGAGCTCTTCGAACGACCCTGGGTCGAGCAGAGTCATGATTCGCTCTCTCGCCGTCAGCTTGCCCTGCTTGTGCTGCTTCTTTATCCGCTCGAACCCCCCGCCCTTCAGCGCCTCCGCCTGTAGCCGCTCCAGCTCAATCACTGACGGCTGGGGAGGTGGGCGGGGTGAGAGTGGAGGGTAATAGGGGAAGCGGGAAGGGATGAGGGTACGAGGTAAGCTCGACTAGCCCTGCTTGTGCTGCCCCTCTATCCGCCCGCATCCACTGCCCTTCAGCGCCTGCTGCCGCTCCAGCTCAATCACTCACGGCTGGAGGTAGGCGGGCGGGCGGGTGAGTGGGGAAGGTAGGGGAAGCGGAAGGGAAGAGGGTACGTAGAGGTAGGTCTATTCGACTTGCCCTGATTGTGCTGCCTCTTTATCCGCTCGAATCCATTGCCTTGCGTGGCGCCTCTGCCTTTAGCCGCTCCAGCCCAATAACTGACGGCTGTTAAGGTGGAGAAAAAAGGGGTTGGCAGAATGGCGGTGGGGAAGCGGGAGGGGTGGTGGGGAATAAAGGTGAGATTCACGGTTCCCTGCTCATGCCGCTCGTGCTGCTCATGCTACCTTTCCTGCTTCCCTATTCGCTCGAAAGTGCCACTTCAGCCCCCCGCTCTACTTGGGGTGGGAGGTACCTTTCTCCGATTCCTGAGGGGAGGGGAGGGGAGGGACGGGGAGGGAAGGGGAAGGGAAGGGAAGCGACGGGAAGGAAAGGGAAGGGAGGGGACGGGAACGGAGGCAAGAGAACAGAGAGGAATTCAAAGAAGGGAAGACCTATTTGTTCATGGACATCTCACTTGTTTAAAAACGTGTGCGGCGGGAGCAGAAGGCGACGAATCCAATGCCTCCGTCAGCTGCGGCCCGCATGCCACGCCGCTGGGCGACCCTACTACCGCCCCCCCGGCTCCTGCTAGTGTCGACGATGACGCAACAGCCGCCGCTGCTGCGAACGGCAGGAGCGGCGGCATCCCCGCTATAGGCCGCAGCGCTGCTGCTCCGCTACAAGCATGAGGCGCGATGCAGGGAGTGGTGGTGTTTATAACGGAGCGAGTGGAGCTGGGTGGCGATAGCCGAGAGGGGAGGGAAACGGAGCGAGATTTGGCGGGTCCGCGACGAACGGAGCCCGTGAGAACACGCGCGAACACCATGCCGATTCGCTATTGCCTGCAGTGAAGCTGTGGGTGATAATAACTAAGGAGGCTTATAGCAGCAGGAGTTATGACATTGCATTGCAAATCAGGGTTGTCTTCCTCAAAACTCGAAAAAACAGATGCAAATCTGTGGGGTCAAATTGATTGCAAGCGATTCTGACTGGCAAGCGATTCTGACTGGCGGGCGGTCGTCTAACCAATCACTCTCGACTTCCCAACTGTGGTGTATCACCAACTGACGCACCACCCCATCTGGGTGACGTAGCTCGGTGGGGACCACCTGACTCGACCAGCTAGCCAAACCGAGCCCAGCTGACGCAGCACCAGCTCAGCCCGGTAACCTGTCGGGCATCCGCCTCCGAAATCGCAAACGCTTTTGAGCGAGCCCGATATCTATATTTCATTTATGTTACATAATCGCATTGTTCGATTAATAGGCCAGCAAGCTAAACGCTTTTGTGCAATTTCTCATTTTTCAATCTACTCTCAACCAGGGTTCTCCCTAGGTTCTGAACCCGCCGGATGGCATCTGTTGGGATAACCGAAAGGTTATTATAACATTCCCGAAGGTTCTCTCCTAGCGCGCCACTTCATAACGAAGCAGCACCATTGTACCAGTACCGCAATAGCCCATATAGAGCACAGCTCGAGAGTCACCCGAAGGACAACAGTCGCTGTTAGTCAACTATCGCGACTGTTAACCGTCTGGCAACCGCATCAGAGGTTATGCGATGCAATATGGTAACTGTCGAGAATGGCAATCGTCGCAGTTACTGTAGCTATGTAATACAGTTAATAAATGGAATGTACCCCTCAGAGTACATGGCTAGCTAGTTTGCTATTTATACGCTTGTATCTCTATCTTATATGTCAGATTACAATTGTATCTCTAGGCTACAGTAGGGTCACTCCTTAGTGAGTACAACACTTTAGGGTTAGGTTTCCCCTACTTGTACTCACCTGTTGCCTAGTCCAATCCATCATTCCTAGTTGTATTCTTGACATGTTATCAGAGTAGGAACCGTTCCTACATGGGCCCACCGTTCCGCCTAGTGGTAGCGCCACGCCCTACACAGTAGCCAGCGCGCTGGCGCCCCTAGCTCTCACTGTCGCGACCCTTGCAGCCCGTGCGCTGCCCCTGCGACCGCGCTGCCCCTGCAGCCGTGCTCGCCCTTACGACCGTGCTGCCCCTTGCAGCCGTGCTCGCCCCTGCTACCGTGCTGCCCCTGCAGCCGCGCCTGCCCCTGTGGCCCGCGCGCTGCTCCTCCAGCCCGTACGCTGCCCCTGCAGCCCGTTCACGCTGCCCCTGCAGCCGCGCGTCGCCTCTGCAGCCAGCCCGCGCGTCGCCCCTGGAGCCCGCGCGCCGCCTGTGCAGCCCGTCCTCGCGGACCCTGCAGCCCGCGCGTCACCCCTGGAGCCCGCGCGCCGCCTCTGCAGCCCGTCCTCGCGGACCCTGCAGCCCGCGCGTCGCCCCTGGAGCCCGCGCGCCGCCTCTGCAGCCCGTCCTCGCGGACCCTGCAGCCCGCGCGTCGCCCCTGGAGCCCGCGCGCCGCCTCTGCAGCCCGTCCTCGCGGACCCTGCAGCCCGCGCGTCGCCCCTGGAGCCCGCGCGCCGCCTCTGCAGCCCGTCCTCGCGGACCCTGCAGCCCGCGCGTCGCCCCTGGAGCCCGCGCGCCGCCTCTGCAGCCCGTCCTCGCGGACCCTGCAGCCCGCGCGTCGCCCCTGGAGCCCGCGCGCCGCCTCTGCAGCCCGTCCTCGCGGACCCTGCAGCCCGCGCGTCGCCCCTGGAGCCCGCGCGCCGCCTCTGCAGCCCGTCCTCGCGGACCCTGCAGCCCGCGCGTCGCCCCTGGAGCCCGCGCGCCGCCTCTGCAGCCCGTCCTCGCGGACCCTGCAGCCCGCGCGTCGCCCCTGGAGCCCGCGCGCCGCCTCTGCAGCCCGTCCTCGCGGACCCTGCAGCCCGCGCGTCGCCCCTGGAGCCCGCGCGCCGCCTCTGCAGCCCGTCCTCGCGGACCCTGCAGCCCGCGCGTCGCCCCTGGAGCCCGCGCGCCGCCTCTGCAGCCCGTCCGCGCGGCCCCTGCAGCCCGTACGAGCTGCCTTTGCAGCCAGCGCGGCGCCCCTGCAGCCCGCGCGTCCTGCCCCTGCAACCTGCGCCAGCGCCCTGCCCTGCGCGCGCTGACGCCCTGCCCTGCGCCAGCGCCCTGCCCTGCGCCCGCGCCCTGCCCTGCGCCAGCGCCCTGCCCTGCGCCAGCGCCCTGCTATACCCTAAATATAATTAAATTGTTTATTAAAAAAAAAAAAAAAAAAGAGGACCCTAGGTGCTTCTGCCCTAGGAGCTACTGCCTACTACTGCCCTGCTGTGGCCGCGCGCCGCCCTGCTCTGGCCGCGCGCCGCCCTGCTGCTGTTACTACTGCTGCTGCTCCTACTCGTGCTACTGGGAGTGGAGGAGGTGCTGCTGGGAGTGCAGGAGGTGCTGCTGGCGCTGTAGGAGCTGGAGGTGCTGGACCTACTCCTGACCGTCACTGTCTGTCATGGCCACTTCCGCGGCAGTTGCTGCGGCCAGGGGTGGACAGCAGCGGGCACTGCTTCTCCCAGACAACCCCACCCCTCAGCAGCTTCGTGAGTGGGTTATTCAGCGAGGTCGTCCTGGTGGTGGAGGTTATCGTTTTGTTAGGACTGCTGCTCTTGGTGTTAGTGAGTCTGCTGCCGCTCCAGGTGCTAGTGAGTCTGCTGCAGCTCTAGGTGCCCGTGAGTCTATCGACGCTCTAGGTGCTAGTGCGTCTACTACCACAGGTCCTGCCTCAGCTGAGGTCTTGCACACTTTCACGCTTGACTCAGGCGCGTCACGTTGCTTCTTCCGTGATTGCACCACAGTCACACCACTCACAGCACCTGTCCCAGTCTCACTGGCTGACCCCTCTGGGGGCCCAGTGGTTGCGAGAGCCTCCACGGTCCTCCCTTGTCCAGCAGTCCCCTCTGGTTCTTTTTCAGGTCTCCACCTCCCCACGTTCTCGACGAACTTGGTGAGCAACGCTGCCATTCAGGATGTCTGGGTTGATACCTTTATTCCTGGAGGGCAGCGTGTGGCGATCTGTACGTGCTCCCGGACTGGCCGTCACCTGGCTACGTTCACTCGTCAGCCTGGGTCTAGTCTGTACACACTGACCACTGCGTCTGCACAGGTGGCTGAGTCAGGTCAGGTAGCTGCGTCGAGTCGAGCGTCTGCGTCAGGGCAGTTAGCTGCGTCTTGCTCGTGCAGAGTACTCACGCACGAGACTCAACGCTGGCACCACCGTCTTGGTCACCCCTCCCTGCAGCGTCTGCGCGGCATGCACTCCCGGCTCCTGGTCTCTGGCCACCCTGAGACCCTGCCCCCCCTCCCGCGCTCACTTGCGCCGCCGTGTCTTCCTTGCGTCGAGGGGCGGCAGCGCGCCGCTCCTCACTCCTCCGAGTTTCCTCCGACCACTGCTCCTCTGCAGACTCTCCACCTGGACGTGTGGGGCCCGGCCCCCGTCGGTGGGACGGACCAGGAGCGCTACTTCCTGCTGGTTGTTGACGACTACACACGCTACACCACAGTCTTCCCCTTGCGTCGCAAGGCGGACGTCAGCGGTGTTTTGATCCCTTGGATCCGTGCTACTCGTCTCCAGCTACATGAGCGCTTTCATCAGGACTTCCCAGTCCTGCGTCTGCACTCTGACAGGGGTGGTGAGTTCTCTTCTGGCGTCCTTGAGACGTTCTGCCAGGATGAGGGCATCGCCCAGTCGTTCACGCTTCCGGCCTCTCCGCAACGAAATGGGATCGCTGAGCGTCGCATTGGCCTGATCATGGAGGTTGCTCGTACCTCCATGATCCATGCGGCTGCTCCCCATTTCCTGTGGCCGTTTGCGGTCCGATACGCCGCGCATCAGCTCAACCTCTGGCCCCGTGTCTCTGCTCCAGAGACCTCGCCCACACTTCGTTGGACGGGACAGCCTGGTGATGTGTCGTCGTTTCGGGTCTGGGGCGCGCTCTCCCTTGTTCGCGATACCAAAGCGAGCAAGCTCTCTCCTCGCACTCTCCGCTGTGTCTTCCTGGGCTTCCCAACCGACGCTCCACCCTGGCAGTTCTACCACCCTGCCTCGCGTCGTGTTCTGTCCTCTCAGGACGTCACCTTCGACGAGTCGGTCTGTTACTACCGACTTCACCCGCACGCGTCCCACCCGGTCCCCCTTGCACCCCTCTTCCTGGTACCAGTCCCCCCCCCGGTAGACCCCCTCCCCCCACAGGGTCCTGCTCCCTCAGGTGTGTCCCAGGTAGACCCACCCCCCTTGGATGAGCCAGTTGAGATCTCTTCTGACTCCTCTGACTCACCTGAGGGGGGTGACGCCGTCGCCGACGACACGGCGACCACTCGCCACACTCCTCGCTTGGCGACCCCCCCCGGGTTTCCCGCCACGGCCGTCTTCGCCGCCTCCGCAGCCTGCTGCTGTGGACTCTGGAGCTGAGACTACTGGAGCTGGGGCTGGGGGTGGTGAGTCTGGGGGTGCCCGCTCTCCTCGTCTGGCTACCCCCCCCGGGTTCCCACCTCTGCCGTCTTCGCCGCCTCTGCAGCCTACTGCTGTGGACACTGGAGCAGAGACAGAGGGTGCTGAGACTGAGGGTGCTGGGACTGAGGGTACTGAGCCTGAGGGTGTTGGGACTGAGGGTGCTGGGACTGAGGGTGCTGAGACTGAGGGTGCTGAGACTGAGGGTGCTGGGACTGAGGGTGCTGAGCCTGAGGGTGCTGGGACTGAGGGTACTGAGACTTTGGGTGCTGACTCTGGGGGTGCTGAGACTTCGGGTGCTGACTCTGGGGGTGCTGCGAGTCCTTCTGGAGGTCCTGGTGCTGGAGGTACTGGAGCTGCTGCTGGTGCTGGAGGTGCTGGAGCTGGAGGTACTAGAGGTGCTTCTGGTGCTGGAGGTGCTAGAGCTACCACTACTAGAGGTACTGGAGCTGGACAGCCACCGCAGCCTGCTCT